CCCATTGATGCTGCATGCGCCTCRGCGAGGCTCTCCCTGTCAGCTACAGCCCTCTGCTCATCAGCTCCCAAAGAAAAGGGGAGATCCCTTGGGATCCCCCTTTGGGTCTGTTCAGTYTGGAGAAGAGGAGGCCGAGGGGGGACCTGATCAGTRTCTATAAATAYCCCAGGGGAGGCAGTGAGGAGGAGGGGGCGGCCTCTTTTCAGTGGTGGCCAGCRATAGGACTAGAGGAAACGGCCACAAGCTGAGGCACCAAAGGTTCCACAGGAACTTAAGGAAACACTTCYTGACAGTGAGGGTGACAGAGCCCTGGAACAGGCTGCCCAGAGAGSTTGTGGAGTCTCCTTCTTTGGAGATCTTYAAAACCCGCTTGGACGCAGCCCTGTGCCACGTGCTCTAGGTGACCCTGCGTGAGCARGGGGGTTGGACTCGATGRYCTCTGAGGTCCCTTSCAACCTTGGGCATTCTRTGATTCTATGATCCCTAAGGAGGGCCAGCTGAAAATCCCCTTTTAGCTGCAACCACATTGGTGTCCCATCTGTTAGGGACCCCGTGGCCATGGTCCCTGCTTTAATTGCAACTTGTCTTCTCCCGGTGTTTTCCCTTTATCCTCGCCCACAAAAGTCACTTGGGATTCGATTTACTTAAAGATACTTTTCTTTGCAACAAGAAAGCGGTTCTGTCAACACAAAAGCTGTTTTCTCCCAAAATCCCCATTCTCCCTTTTGGCTGCCTCACGCCGCGTTGGGTTCTGCTCCTCTCCGTACCCCTCTGCAGACTTTTTGGGTTAAGTTTGGAGTTTTTGCTCTGCGAACTGCCTGGAGCAACCCTTCACCCTCCCCTCGCACTGACATCCCCTTGCTAACACAGGGCCCCTCCTGACTCATCCCTCCTGATGCTCCTTTAACAGGCTTTCTCGTGTGAAACAGGCAGAGTTTAATCTGGGAAGGCTTTTGAAGGCTTTTGTAAGTGATAAATGCTGATGAACAGCAGATCTGCACTTGTTTTAAATGTTACCAAGATAAGCTGGAAAGTAGATTTTGAGAGGTGCGATATTCTGTGCATCTTTGTGAGGTGCGATATTCTGTGCATCTTTGTGAGGCTGGCTCGTTTGAAAGGGTAGTTTGGGGAGCAGGAGCTTCAATCAATCCCTTGCGCTTCGTCCTCTGCTACTGTTGCCTCCCTAAAGGTTATTAGTTCTTAGAAAATCTGCTGAAAAATTAGAAACGTGTCGTTTGCTTTCCTTCTGCAGAATGGTGAACTTTGGCTTTCACGGTATCCGCTGAAAATTTGTACTTTGGAAATCAAAGGAGACATTGGACACTTTTTGAAGTGGAAATAAGAAATGATGAGAGACGATGCGACAATATTTCATTGTTTTGCATGTGTTCTTTCTGATAGGGGAGGACGAGAGGGAAGAATATCATTCTTTGAAGTTTGTAAAATACTGGTATGCAGCAGTTCATAAATTTAGGTATTCTCTCCTGGATCATGTTGTGTACTTTAAGAGCAGTATAAATAGCAAGCAGTAGTTAATTGTTAACAAGGGTTAAATGTTTCTAGACCAAGATTGCCCTTTGGGTGTGAAAGCAATGGAATGACATATTCATAGAGTGAATTTCTTTTCCCTTTTTGCCCTGTCCATTCCCATACGTGGTTTAAAAGGGTGTCCTGGTCAATATGATATTGACTCAGTTACGCCAGCTCTCTTTCTAATGTAAGCTGTGACATACTGGCTTTTAACACATGTTTTTCTATGGTAATGTCACATTGAGAAATGTAATATGTTATATACATGTGTGTATATGTTATGTAATGTTAACAAGATAAAACATACTCATTTGTTGTGGGAAATGGTGTATATTTTTATTCATAGATAAGGTATCTAGAGTAGTTATGACAGTAGATTCAAATGTTCTTAAGTCTTATGAACTTTCACAATTAAATGTGAAGTTTGTTTTTTTTATGGTAAATACAATTGTTAGACTCTAGCTGGATTTTCAAATGTGTTTTTATCATCAATTGCAAGGATCTAAAATGGGCAATTTTYCAATACAGAAAATTAAACTATTTTGGGCATCATCTAGCAACAAATCTAGTTGTGTAATACAAATTCTGAGGAAAAAGGCCAGAACTCTTAATGTTTGCGTGCTGTAAACTTGCTTGTTCTGAAGAAGTGCTCAGTTATGCTTAACATATGGATGCAACCAGACTACAGTTATCTAACAAATGTGTGTGTGTGTGTGTGTGTATTATGTATATATACATATATATATAATGAAGAACAAGCTTACATTTTGTAAGTCTGCTTTGCCTATAGTCTTAAGGTGTGATCTTATTTTTTCAAGGTGATTTTTAGTGATGTGAGTGAACTCCTRCTATCTAAGGAAGTCTGTCTTCCTTAGGGGTTTTTCACAAATAAAAAGCAAAAATCCCCTGGGTTGCGGTGGCTGCAGCCTGTGGGATTTTGCAATACCGGAGCCCCGTGGATGTCCTGGGTTTTAGTTAAATTAGTTGTGTTTTGCAGCGGCCAAGAAGGACTTGTAGACCTACTCAGATAAGCACCGTGTTTCTTCTTAATAAATTCTGGTGTTGGGATAAGAGAGCGTCATGTACCAAGCGCTGCTGTTTCTTAAAGCCAAAAGGATGAAATCCTGAAGCAACCAGAACTCTCTTTGGAGGTGAATGGGGCCTGTTTACAGAGATGTGTGTTATCCACATCTGGGGAAGCCGAGTGTCAGCAGAAGTTTTGGAGTGAATTGGGAAGTTGTGCCCTGCCCATGGTCCCCGGCTCCCGGGGCCTTAGGCTACCCAACATAAGGGATATTGTGGGYGCCAAGGGGCTCTCTGTGGGAAGGGGCAGTAGGTGTGTTTCTTTTTTTTAATATTTTATTATGCTGCAGTGAAGCTGGTGCAAACATTATTTTAAAATAGAGGTGATGTGAGCTCTTCCTTTCCCGGCCCGCAAAGATGGGAATTCAGCATGTCTATTAATACCCAGGCCATGTAATACACCCTTCAAACCTGTCTTTCTGTCTGCCCGGGTGAGTACACGAAACCTGGGTGAAAGGGTTTCCTTGAGGAGCTCTGGGTCTGCCTGCCTGGCTCCGCACGGACTCATGCCAACCGGGAAGCGCGCTGGGATCCATGTGCCATGGCGGGAAGCCCTCGCTCCGCAGCGCCAAGGCCTTTGCGGCCAGCAAGCGCCGGATCCCTCCGGCAAGACCAGGCCCAGACAGCTACGCAGCACGTGTGGGGCTTGGCTATATTCAACTTACCTTTGGCATAGTTTTTCCTTTTCCAGGCTTGGAGGGTCTCTGGGAAGCAGACATGGCCCTGGCTGTTAACGGGTGGCTTTTAACAGGTGGTGGGTGGCGTTAGGATACATCCTTGTTGTGCTCCCGGTTTGGGGACGCTGCTGCCGGGAGCCGCTCATCCTCAAGGAGCCAAGCGAGGGGCCCGGCCGGTGCCGCACGCAAACAGTGAAAAGGCCGGCGTTGTTCACAGCCCCAGGTCAGCGTTGTCAGCCCGCAGCACCAGTACCAGGCTTCTCCGCGGCTTTTGGTGGAAAATATTAAACAGGCGGCCTTGCTTCAGCTGCAGAATTTCTGCGTTTGATCCCCGTTAGTCACGGCGCTGGCACAAGCGGCGCCTCTGCAAAGGCTGCCCGGGAGGCGCCGCTTTTCCCCCTCCTCTGCCGCCGGAGGAGGCGGCTGCACCGCGCTCAGGGCAAGTGGGGGCTGCGAGGCGCCTCCTCCTCCTCATCCTCCTCCTCCTCCTTGGGAGCCTGCGGCAGCCCGCGCGCTACTGCCACCGCCGCTCCTGCTCCGCTCCTGCTCTGCTCCGACTGCCTCCCCCGGCCCAACAGGACCATCGCGCTTTTCATTTTTCATTGGCTTTTTCCTTTTCTTTCTCTTTTGAAAAGCTTTGCGAGACTTTGCTGACTGCATCGTTTAATCTGTCAAGGAAAAATTGATGAGCAGGACCTCTAGTAGCCGAAGAGGAAAATGGGCTTGGCACAGCGACAGACGTGCGAATAGAGAAGTTAGCCCGGAGAAGATGCACGGAGTCTGATTTTTTTTTTTTTTTTTTTTTTGAATTATTATTTTTCCATTTCTCCTCTCTCGTTTGCCGGCTTCCTCCCCCCTCAAGCAGACGGAAGAGCATCACGGGGCTCACGCGGTGACAGAAGCAGCGCGGGAGCCGCAGGAGCCACCGCGCGGGGCAGGATCCGGAGCCGCCTGCCCTTCTCCGGCCGGGGCCCCTTCCCGGCGCGGAGAAGCCCCCGCTCCCGCGCGCCCAAGGAGGAGCGGAAGCTCCGCGAGCGAGCGGCGCCTGTCGCACGGGGAAGCAGCAGGATTATTCCGGGACTCACATTGTCCCTGCGCTCTGACTCATCGCATGTAAATGTGCTGCAGCCGCGCTCCCCATTGCGGGTATTTTCATTGCACGGGGAAGAACTGTCATCCTCTGGCCGCCTTCTGAATAACTGCTGAAAAGCAGATGCTTTTTTTGCCTTTTTTTGCCCGTCCCTGCCGGCTGCCCGGTCTGTGACATTGGCGGCAGAGGCTGCGGGCTGAGCGGCAGCGCTGCGGCGGGCGGCAGCAGAGGCACCGCTGCCCTTGCGGGGCCGCCCGGCTCCCGCTGCGCCGCGCGCAGCGACGTCCTCGCCGGCCCCCCCGGCTGCCCYGCCGCGCTGTGCATGTGGAGTGAAATCCTTCTGGGGAAGCGGAAAAAAAAGAAAACTTTTTTCACYGTCGTCTTCAGCATCTCAGGGCATCTGAATCCGAAAAATGACGTGTAAGGAAGGACTGCAGCTTTCTTTTTCAAATGTCGGTCCACCAGCAGTAGCACTTTTGAGTTTGTGAGTGTCTGGGGAAGAGTGAAGCTGTTTTCTACACGCTCCGCAGGGTGATACCTACAGGGAGGTTGCAAAAATCGAGTTGCCGGTGTTTTTTTTTCCGTTTGCCCGTTTGCTTTTCCTTCCTCCAACGGATCGAATGAGTCGAGTGTGTATCGTGGTTTTGGAGGAGGTGGAAGATGAGTGTCCCGCGTTTCTTCCCGCCTCGCCCCAGGAGATCGAGCCTTTGCGTCCCTCGGCGCCCGGGACCGCGCTGGTAAGGCAACGTCGCGGCCCTCCCGCTGCTCCTGCCGCCGCTGCCGGTGCCGCTAGCGGCTTCCCAAGGTTAGCGGGAAGCTGCCTGGACTCCAAGYTAGAGGAGAGCTGCTAGGAGCTGAGCAGTGGGAAAGGCCGAGGTTGCAGAGCTGGTGGCTTTTCTCAGGGGGCTCGTTCCTTTGCAGGCAGCCTCACTGCTGGTGCAGGTGCCCTCAGCCCTGTGCAGAAGGTCCCTAGGGGCCCGATAAACCCTCTGTGTTTGAGTAGCTGGTTCTCCTGGGACGTCCCTGTCCCTTCCCCACGGTGTCTTGGCGCGGTACCGCTTTAGAAACTGATGTAATGGTTGCACTGCAGCCACTTGCTCTGCTTAGGTGGGGAGCTGGGAGGGTAACCGGGTGCGGGAGGCACCGGTAGCTCCAGCTAAAATACAACAGAGCAGAGGCCCCAAGAGCGACCTGCCCTGGGTCCAGGTGATTGCCCCCCAGACATCGCCAGCACTGGGGGGTCTCGCGCCTTCGCTTCCTTAAATGACTGAACTCTGGCAAACGCCCCACTAAAATCACACTAACGTATCCCCACGGCTTTCCTTACTTACCAAGAAATCCTGCTATATTTAGTAATAACGTGTGTGCGAGTGTGGATTTGTTGCCATACTTACCGGGTGGAGGCACTTTGATTTCTTGCTCTGGTCAAACAGATGAAGATTTCTAATAACTTTAGTCACTTGCCCACACATCCCTTTTACATTAGCATCTACTTTACAGGATTCACTGTATGTGTTAACTTGCTCACTTTATTTTAAGCCCTGATTTTATTGCAGTGATTTTTCTTTTCAGCCATAATAAGCTTTTTTTGCAGTGACGTGAGTTTGTTGCTGTGTTTGAGGTTTTAAAACTTCAAAACTTGGAATTCTTTCTCTTTTCTTGTTTCTGATCCTTCATTTCACTGCTGCGGGTGTTTCTCTTTCGTCCATGTTTGGTGTTTACATACTGTATACCCTAAAGCTGTGCCTGTATCAACCAAAAGTGAAATGGAACTGTCCTCTAAGATATGTTCTTTTTTTCTTCATTTCAGCCACCTTTGGTTCAAGCTATATTTAATGGAGATCCCGATGAAGTTCGAGCGCTAATATTTAAGAAAGAAGATGTTAATTTTCAGGTAAAAACAAATTATTTAGCTTTGAATACAAATTAATTTTGTTTTAACATGGCTTTCTACTGTGCTAATAACTTCAGAGCTCTGCTAATTCAAGTGGGCAGTGTAAGACCAGGATAGTCTTTGTTTTGGAGATGTGTAGAACCGAAAGCAGCACTGCCGTGAGGTGTGTGTGTTCTGACCCTTAGCAAGCATTCCTCGGAGCTGTCTCACCRAGAGCAGCTGAAGTGTGTGGCAGTCCTGCCTGTGACAGCCAGGTTAGTTCTGCAGGGCCCTCCTCAAACTCTGTAAGATGGATTTGGTTCGACAGGGTGSTGGGTTTTTCTCCGCTGGCTTTTGCAATAGTCTTCCATGCTTTTAAGCAAGAGGGCTTGATGGACTGTATAATATCAAATGATTTAATTTTCTAGTTGGTCACGAGACCATTTGTGCTGTGTCTCCTTTCTGTTTTTCCTGTGCCCACTCTGGGCATATGTTTTTATCTTTGTCACTTGATTAGTGGATATCACTTAATTTATATTTTTCCATGTGTAGGTCAGGTTTAGCATTCAGAGGCACAGTGCCTGTAGACACAGGCAGGTTGGCATTTTTTTGCCTTTTTGATTATTTACTACAAAAGCTTCTGCTAGACYTCAATATGTGCACAACAGTGGGTTTTTTTCATTGTTCTACCTCCACATTTGTCAAACAAACATTATCAGTCCATAAATACAAATGGGTAGGTGTACTTCAGTGTGTGTTATGATTTATTCTCTTTTGAAGAAGATTACTTTAGACTATTAGATAGTTAGAGTGAAGAAAAAAAATCATGGAATATTCCAAATCTGTTTTTGACAAACCTTTATACATCTTCATTGTTTTTCTTTTATTCCTTTCTTTTTCCTTTCTGTGCAGGCATCTCCCTCAATACAATATATTTATATCTTAGATGAGTAACATCCAGAGTATATTTAGGCTACAGCAAATACACTGTTTTTTTCATGCCCACCTTCTCCAGCATGGGCAGACGCTTTTATCACCTGTGACAGCTCCTTCCTATCATGGTAATCCTAGACATTTTATTGGAAGGAGTCCTGCAGTATTTAATATTTTATTTACATCTGTCCCTCAAAGCACCATTCTGCAGGAGTGAATGAGCATATAAATTCACCTATTGATATGGAGGAATAAAGAAAACTAGCTAGAAAACTGCCTAGTGGGTTTTTCTCTGTGTGTGTTTTTCTTTCCTGGGTTTTACATTTGCTTATGTGCATCGCTGGACATAACATTCCCACATAGTCTAGATCCAAATTTTTCCACTGAGTTTTGTGTCGTGAGTTGTTGTGGCCAGCAGGAGGGGGAAAACGAAGCCAAGGAAGCGGCTCCGTGTCTTTCCTAATAAAGAGATGGATCGAGATAAACAGCCCATCGCCGCTGCGGGCTCCGTTAGAACCAGTGTATGCGCCGGGAATTATTTTTTCCATTCAGCTATCCAAATACTCGAGTGCTCTTGCTGGAATTCCGGACTTGTTTTCCCCGGTTCTTCCGCAGGAGCCTTTCCTGCCCTCCGTGGCGGCGCGTGCTCTGCCAGTCGGAAGCCCCTTTCCCCGCACCCGGCAGCGCTCGCACTGGGCAGAGCTGCAGACCAGACCCTGCTCAGCCAGGAGCCGCACGCAGAGCTGCCCTGGGCCTCCGCTGTGACAGCGGCACCAGTCTGGGAAACCTGCTGGTGGCCTCATGAAACGGGACAGGGCGRGGATTAACTCCCACTTTCCCTGTCTTTTTACTTCTGGGGGCATTTAGAGATGCTGTCTTTATTAATTGTGGCTCAGTTTAAACTGRTGTTAAAAGCTGCCCGAGTTGTGTGTTTGACTTTTTAAAGCTAGGCTGTGGTAACTGTTGCTATAATGGTAGCATCTGCAGATTACACCCAGGTTAGGCTGTAATTAGATGATTTATTCCTCAGACAGATGGTATCTTGCACTGCAGTGTTAAGTGCAGAGGGATGCTGAGGCTGGTGGCTGGTTTTCCATAGTGTGAGGAGGTGAGTGCAAGTGTGAGATGCTGTATGGCTTTGGCAAATATATGGCAAATTCCGGGCTCTCTCAGGGAGCTTGTTCAGATCTCCCTTTAGCAGCCTTCTTGAGTCACAGTCTGGGCTTACAAACTATGTCCTGAATTCAACTCTGCCATCATAGCATCTTGCACAGAACAAGTAAATAGAGAATTCTTTAGCAGCTTAAACTGGGGTTTGGAAAGGCTTGACCTCTCTGTAGGTTGCAAGTGTTGGCTTTTGAAGTTAAAAACTGATGTATAGAAGCATTGGTTTTATGTGTGTTTGGAAGGCAAACTCCCAGGCTCCAGCTAATACCAAGTGTGTGGGTGAGGGGGTATCCCTGTGGCCCTTTGCCTGAGAGCACGTGGGGAGCTCTCAGGCTGCTGCATGAGTCAGGCTTAAGTCATGCACATCACATATGTCAGGCCTCATGTAGCTTCTGTTATCCTTGTTGCTCTTGCTACACTCTATGTGTGTGTGTGTGTATTTTTTTTTTCCGTGGTGCCATACTGGGCTTTTGAGACTCAGCAGTAAGAAAAATACTTTATGTGATACTACACAGTTGAGATCTTTTGTATTAGTTACTGGGGAGTCTCAACATTTCTTGCTGTTTTGATTGAAATACTTGAAGTTGGTGTTTTCCACACTCCTCAGCAGTTGATTTTAATCRGCTAAATTGATTTTAGCATTGCTCTTTTCAGCCTGGAAGCCTTTGCTTTTGTAGATGGAGGTTTGGCTATGCCCTTTAAAAACGGGAAAGCTGTCACCACTGCAAATTCTGTTTTTATGCTATATCAACTTTTATGCTAAATAAATCAGTTTCACAGATCATGAAAACTGAATTCACCCAGACCTATGAGGATAATGCTTTTGACCATGAAAAGTGGTGTTTCTGGGGCTCTGTATGCAGTCTCTACAACATGATTGCACTAGAGCAAAGCCAAGGGGCTCCCGGCTGGTGCCAGCACCAAGGAGCCCCTGGGCTCTCGTGTCTCCCTCACACAGCTCCCCTGGCCTTCCCGAGGGCTCCCAGCTCCTTTCTAAAGCAGCATTTGATATGTGCACGGAGCACCTGTGTGTCCTTGCTCCCTGTGCCTTGAGAGGCAAAGAGAGGAGGAAGGAGCCGGTCCTCCTCCCTTCCCTGTGGTTCCGCACCTGCAGTGCCCAGTGCCGGTGTTTCCCACCCTGGCACGGGCAAGGAGTGTGGCTTAGGAAGGCCTGCGTGCTGGCTGCACATGGGGCAGCTCAGCCTGGCTATGGGGCTCTTGCTTTGGGCAGTGCTGGGTGGTCGTTTGCTGCAGGAGGGATGTGGGCTCCCTTCCCAGCCCTGCCGAGCGGGCTTTGAAAGCTGCTCTGCTTGTCTGCGTGCTGGGGGAGCGCTGCCCCATTTCCTCCCGGGGTGAGAGATGGGGTCTTGCTTSATTTCCTGATGCTTTTTAGTTGCTCATTTATTTTACTCTGCTTTGTTTAAACAAGGATAGAGAACGGATTTATTGGCCTGGTGTACATCTAGGGCTTCTCATCCTGCACTGGGTACCAGGAAGCTTTAAAGATTATCAGGAGCCTCCAGAATCGTGGTAATTCAGAAGATAACGATGGTAATTAAAGCACAGGTTAAAAGCGAGAGAGCTCTTCCAGGGTCAATACTGGTGCATTGGCCAGCAACGTCCTAGAAGAGGTCAAATAAAAATATATCTAATTATTATTATATATGATTTTATATATGTTATAAAATTATATATAAGATGTATTTCTGGTTGCCCAGGTTTCATGCCTTGCACCTGTACAGTGGGCTGGGCTCGGGGGTAACTTCTCTCTCYTCCTGCCCGGGGAAGCTGCTGAGCCTGAATGGAGTGGCGTGGAGCAGGAAAGGCCAAGAACACAGAGTGTTCTACAGAACTTCACAGGACTTGACTTCTGAGCATGCAAATAAATCCTGTGCCTGTTTTGTGTATGAAAATGAATGGAAAATTATATTACCTGGCATTGTGCAATTCAAAAATCATCTTTTGTATATATTAGTATAGATTATATATCATGGCCTTGCTTAAAAACAACAACAAAAAAACCCTAAAAGCCACAATATGTAAGGAGGTAAAAGAAGACCTCAGGGAGTTTTACCTTTTTATGTTCATTATCTCTTTGTAGCCCACTGTTTTCTCAAATATAAAAAATGTGGATTTTTCTTTTATTTTGATTAAAAATCTGCATGTTTGCAGATGCAAATCTAAAATCACCACTAGCTTGGTGTATGTATGTCTCTAGAAACATCCTTAGTAATTGCAACTCCTAAAAGAGCAGAATTTCATTATCAGCACCTTTTGGAACTGGACAGGACCATTGGTATAAGCAGGAAAACAGCGTTGCTGGCTAAACGCTCTTCAAGAACTGGCCTGTGATCTGCAACACCCTCTTTCTGTGGAGGCTGTTTGAGTGGGGAAGAGTTCTTGTTTTTAATGAAGAATGGAGATAGTTTTGAGAACAGTGGGGAAAAACTTGGGCAGTTTTGTAAAGCATTTCACGTGGGCCGGGCAGGAGTGCGCGACGGCGCCAGGCCAGGGGGCCGGAATGAGCCTAACCAGGGAGAGGTTTGGGGATGGTTCGTGGAGTTTGGTCCCTGCGACATATGCTCGAAATGAAATAATTTCCCAGGAAAAAACACAGTCTGTCCTCTTGTTAGATGAAGCTGCTGGCAGCTGACATAACGTGCAGCTTTTATACGTAATCAGGGGAGAATAACTAGTAAAAGAAATAGTGTAATGGAGCAAAAGTGAGGTCAATGGCACCTAGAATCACTCGTGAGTTTCGGCTCTTCAAGCTCTGTGTTTTGAGAGGTGCGAGTGGGTGTTTGCTGGCTAGGCTGCGTTGGCAGAGAAGAGCGCTCTTGCCTCGAGGACGCAGGGCCCGGTGCTGGCGGCCTGTCCGCTGGGTGCAGGAGACGTGGGCTCTGCTCGAAGCCCTTTCCTGG